GGCGGCAGCCGGCCCTGCCCACCCGCCCTGCCACCAACTTGGGACTCGTCGGGCTCCCCTCGCCTCCCTCTCCCGGCTTTGCTTTTATTTCCCCCTCTTCTCCTTTCCCCCTCTCCTTTTCCCTCTTTTTCCTTTCCTTTTTTCTTTTCCCTCTTTCCTCTTCTTTATCTTTTCCCTTTTTCTCTCATTTTCCTCTCTTTCCTTTCCCTTTTCCTTTCCTTTTACTTTCCCATTTTTTTATCCTTTTTCCTCTCCTCTTTCTTCTCCCTCTTTTTCTCCCTTTTGCTTTCCTTTTCTGTCTTTTTTCTCTTCTTTTTTCCTTTTCTTTCTTGCTTTCCTTTTTCCTTTTTTTCCTTTCTCTTTTACGTTTTGTTTTTATTTTTTAATTGCAATTTATTCTTCTACACTTTATTTCTTTTTCCTTTACTTTCTTGTTTCATTTTCTTTTTCATTTTCTCTCTCCTTCTCTTTTTCTTTCCCCTCTCTCATTTAATTCCTCTGTTTCCCCATAATTGTATCTGTCCGCATCTTTCTTTCTTTCTTTCTTTCTTTCTTTCTTTCTTTCTTTCTTGTCTCTCTTTCTTTCTTTCTGTCTCTCTTTCTTTCTTTCTCTTTCTCTCTCTTTCTTTCTTTCTCGCTGTCTGTCTGTCTCTGTGCCTTGGGAGCGACTCCAGAGAGCAGAGCCGCCCGAGTCCCGGTCGGGCCGGGCCTGCCCCGCGTTTCCCTGGGATGCGGATGGTGTGAGCTGACTCGGCCCTTCCAGCCCGCCTCTGGACCGTGTGGATGCTCCCTGTCCCCGCTGGAGCCGGGTGCTGGTGCCGCCGGGCCCGGCCCGGGCGCTGCCCGGTGCTGCACACCCGAGGTCCCCGGTAGCAGCACTTGTGCCCAGTGCCCCGGCTGCTCGCGGCAATTCCCGTAGCCTAAGGCTGCAAGGGGAAAAAAAATCCTATTTGTCCCCTAAAGAGCATTCTACGGAAGAGTGATGCAAAATCACCCTGAACAATTTTTACCTTGTGCTGTCTGTGCCCGTGTGTTTTACTGTGGGGAACTCTGTTTTCCTTGACGTGGAAAAACGGGATCATGCGAAAATTAATTTTATTTTAATTACGAATCTTAGCTAAAGAGGAGGTTGGTCGTCTACCTGCAACGGTGTTTCCTTCTATTTCTAAATAATCCCTTGTTGCTCTGAATTGTTTTAGTTTAAATTATAAATCTGCTGAATACATTTGGAGAAAGGGCGCGCAGGATATTGCCTCGCATTAACTTTGGCACAACCACAAGAAGAGCACCTCCGGGAAGCTCGAGTTAAATCTCTGAATTTTTTTTTCTTTGTCCTCTTGTCACTTCGCAAATATTCTAAAAGAAGGAAAAAAAAAGAAAAAGAAAAAAAGAAGTGTTTTCCTGCTGTTTGCAGGGGAGCCAGCGAGCGCTCGGCCGCCAGCCCCGCACGGCCGGCCCCGCAGCCCCGGCCGCGCCCAGGCTCGGCTCCGGAGAGGGGGGAGCGACTCTCGAAGAGACCGATTTGCATTTGAATTAGGGGGGAGAGAAACGCTAAACTGCTTTTGTAAGCGCCGAGGCAGGCGCGGAGCGGAGCGGCCCCGCTGCGTGTCCAGCACCCAAGGGAGCCTCTTTTCCTCCCTCCCTCAGAGGGGAAGGTGCGGGGGCAGGGGCGGGAGCTCTCCCCCGGCCCGGACTCGCTGCCTCCCTCCTGGCAGCGTCCCGAGGGAACTCTGCCAGGCCCGGGCACCGGCAGCGGCGGCAGCTCCGGCCGCGGGTCCGCGCTGGCGGGGAGCGGGCCCCGCGCTCGGCTGGGAGCTCGCCGCCCGGCACCTCTCGGCTTGCTCTCTAGCGGAAGCAAAACAAGATTTTCCACCAGCACAAGAGCTCTTCCACCCTTTCTACAGTAAGAAACTGACAGCATATTGAAAAAAAACGAGTGTTTATTTGGGGGTCTCCTCGTGCAACTTCTTCCCTAAAGATAGCGTCGCAGGCGGGATGGCGCCCAAAGGGCTGCCCCTGCATGAGAGACGGATTCAAAAGCAGACACCAGAATTACCTCCTCTCTGTCTTTAACAACCGAAATATTAGAAAATATTAATATTTGGTTCCTTTTCCATACTCAGCTTCTGTTTTCCCTAAGCTAGAGCAGCCAGTCCCTAAGCTAGAGCAGTCAGTGCCTAAGCTGAAGTAGCGAGGCAAAGTAACTCAGGAGGCAGCCGGGGCTGAGCTGCGTCGCTCACGGGGACACCGTGAGCACCCCAGACAGCGGTGGGGGTGAAACCCACCCCAGCCACAAACTTCGCTGCCAGGGTGAGCGAGGCGCAGTGTGGAAGCGCCGCAGCCGAAGAGCTCCTTGAGCAGACGGGGTGCCTGACCGGACCCGCTGCAGCCGGGGCTGCTCACCAGTCCCGGCTGCATTTCACCACTTTCACGGGGTCTCATTCGCAGCTTCAGACGGAGCAACGACCAAACCCAGTAATGAAAGAGAGAGCTGCCGGCAGGGCTGAGAGGAGCAGCGAGCGGCCGGGGGGAAGATGCAGAGCCGCGAGAGGAGGGCAGATCCCTCGGAATCCCACCGGGGCCTCGGGGAAGCAGAGCCCCGGGGGCGGCAGGGCAGCAGGGACAGCGGGGTCCCGGGCTGCGAGGGGCGGGGGCTGGGGGCAGGGAGGGGCTGAAGTGCGATGGGGGGCCCGGCCTCCCTGGGAGGAAGTAAAGGAGACGTGGGAATGAATTCACAGGTACGCAGAAGAAGCGTCGTCAGAAAAAAAAAATAAAAGGGAAAAAATATTTTAAAAAAGCTAAAAAGCTGTATTGCTCGTTCGAGGCATAGGAAATACGAGTGCGGGAGCAGCTATGCCTCCAAAATTCACTTCGACCGGAATGGTCCCAGCGTATCTGAAAGGGAAAAAAAAAACCCAACCAAACCATAAGGACACCTAAAATTAAAAGGTCGAACATGCTTTGGCATTGCAGGGTCAGATGTTCTCCAGGCTGACGAGACAGGACCCGCAGTGCAGCATCGTGCCGCCCGCGGGTCCGGCTGCGCGGGTGCTGCCCTCGAGGGAAGGGCTGCTCTGCCCCACAGAGCTGCTCCAGCACCCAGCACAGAGACAGCGAACCCCACCTTGCCCAGCTTTCCCCCAAATAAGTCACCGCGGCTGTGAGAGGAGACTGAACTAAATGAAGCAGTC